AGAGGAGTCTGCCTGCTGCACCTCCCAGGATGCTGCCCGGGGAGCCTCTCACAACGCTGGGCTGTCACAGGTCACGCGTGACATTCTCACACCCTCCTCTCCTCTGACTTTTTCTCTTAAGGTTTAACTCGGTGGGAGCTTTACCTCCATGCCTGCTTCATCTCTGGAACCAGGGAGCTAGGAGTAGGACCCGGTTCTATTTCCCTCTTGTCAGTCTGTGTTTTCTGAGTTTCCACAGTAAAGTATTACTTCTAGCAGTCAGAGTTACTAGAATAATTAGCCTTTTGCGATCCACAGAGTGGCATTTGCCCCAGGACAATGTTCAGGAGGCTCAGGAAAAGGAGTCGGCATGGAAACCGGAAATGCGGGGAGGAAGTGAAGGAAGTGCTGTTCTACTGTAGGAACTGCCTCCCGGGACATGATACAAAATGGGTATGAACCGCTGAATGACAAGCTGCACTGCTCTGTAAAACCTTCCCCCTGACTCACCATAAGAAGTTATAAATATGTAAAAATCGGAGAACCTGTGCTATGATTTACTGAGGCTTATACCCTAAGGGAGGGGAGCCGCTTGCTGTAACCGCTGCTCTTCCACTGTAGACTGCCCAGGACCCAGGGCAACGCTACTCTGAACTGGTCCCAGGATGGGGATCTGCTCTCGGGTCAGTACCCCTACCCCCAGCTGCGCTGAGGCAGCACCCCCAGGGATCCGAGCACTGCCCCAGGAGGCAGACTCACACAGGGTTCCTACCTGAAACACTGACCTGGGCCCGTCCTGCCGGCTCGTCCCGACCTCTGGTTAGCATTGGCCTGGCTGATGGGGTAGATCTGCAGAGCATCCATGCCAATCCGGGGGTTGAAGACCTACAAGGGGGCAGGTAGGAGAGAACTGTCTGAAGACAGAGGGGGAGGAGAGAGTGGGGAGGAGGCAGCCTTGCCACAGAGGACAATCCTACACGTGACAGAGGCAGTGCCTCAGCCCGGCAGGCCAGCCATCCTTGTGGAACTGGGACTCTCAGGAAACCCCTAAGGGCTACAAATGCCAGACTGGGATCTCGAATGGTCCTGAAATGATCCACCTCATCACGTGATCACAAGGATTACACGGGGAGAACACACTGTGAAACCAGCAGCCATCAAAGTCGCCCAAACACTGCCACCACTTTCCTATGCATCCTTCACACGGGGGCCGGGGCCCTGGCCAGACTTCCCGCCCCACAGCACGCATGCCCTGGGGAGACACTGGGGCTCGCCTCGAGTGCCTGCTCTCACCTTTAATTTGCAATAACCAGAATCAATAACAAACATGATGCCATCAACTGTCAGGGAGGTCTCAGCAATGTTGGTGGCAACGATACACTTCCGAACACCATCCGGGGCCTAGAGCAGAGTAGACAGATTTGGGAGCAATGAGTCACTCACGTGAGAAGATTCCACAGGGCAGAGCCCACCCCACTCCAACCCTGCCGGAAGAGTGCCAGCCTCGCTACACCTTCCTAGCAGGGTAATTATAAGCCAAAGTCTCTCTGCTCTTCTTTGAGGGGTATGAAAGTAGGGGTCCAGGAGAGATGCCCTGGCTGTCGTACCTTCTGAAAGATTTTGGCCTGGAGGTCAGAAGGCAGCTGGGAGTAGATGGGAAGCACGGCCAAGGCAGGCGCGTTCTCCAGTTCCTCCAGATGTTCCACAATCTGGTCAGAGGTCACCTGCGAGCAGCAGTGGGGCCATGAGAGACCAGAGCCCCAGACCCTGCGACCCAGGGCACACGCGCTCCCAGCCGTGACCAAGCACGCACCTCGATGTCCTCCTGGCCGGGCATGAAGATGAGGATGTCCCCAGGGGCCCCCGACAGGTGTACTTGCAAGGACTGTTTCACTGCAGCCTCCACATAATCCTCCTGCGGAGTCTGAGACACACGGGGAGTCAGCAGGGGGCTATGTCTGGGGAGCGAGCCCTAGGCAGCCTCCCAGAACCCCGCAGCCTACCACTAGCCTGGTGCGAGTCTGCTAACTTTCAGGGTGCCACACCTAGGGCTGGAGGGTCGGTCCCCATAGTCCCTAGTTCCGCTCCGGAGAAACAACATAACGAACCCTCTCCAAGGAGCTCGATCCTTTGTCCCCCTGAAACCTGCAGCCACCCCACCAGCCCCACCAAATCCTCCCCAACTCGGGGTCACGCCCAATGCCCTGCAACTGGCTTCCCATCAGAGGTCAGGCCCAGGGAAAGGTGTACCTTGCTGAAGAGGATGTCCACAGGGAAGGTGCGGCCAGGGATGTGGAAGATGGGAACGTTCCCGAAAAAGGAGGCAAACTTTTCTGCGTCCATCGTGGCTGAGGTGACGATGAGCTTCAGGTCTGAGCGCCGAGCCACCACCTAAAAGGAGAGGAGTCTGAGGCGCCCAGTCTCCCCTCCCGTCTCATCAGCACAGCTCCCAACCAAAGAGAAGCCAGAGCTGATGAGCCGCTGTGGCCAGTTCCCAGCAGTCCTGACGACGGGACAGATGGAGCCCAAGGGCCACTCAGCTCCAGGTCAGCCCACCCGGAGGCCTCAGCACAGAGGGGCCCTCAAGTTTCCCAGGCCCAGGCCTGCCCACGTGGCTACTCCTCAGCCGCTCCCCAGCAGGGCTGTGGTGAGAGGCACCATGGCCCCAGCCCTGCAGTCCTCACCTCTCGGAGCAGGCCAAACAGCACATCGGTGTTAAGGGAGCGCTCATGGGCCTCGTCCATGATGATGGCACTGTAGTGATCAAGGTCAGCTTCCCGAAGGGACTCGCGCAGCAGAATCCCATCCGTCATGTACTTGATCAAGGTGTTTTCCGAAGTGCAGTCTTCAAAGCGGATGGCATAACCCACCTGGGCAGCGGGGAACAAGAGATGCCTAGAGACTGACTACCAGCTGGTCACTAGCACAGCCCGACACACTTCAGCACCAGGGGCTGGCAGCGGTCAGGCAGTCAAC